TGGGCCCAGGCGGGTACTGCGAAGGAGGGAAGCGGGAAGGGTTGAACGCCGGTGCTGAGGCCTAGGCTGGGGTGCAGGCGTGCTCCCCCTCTGAAGGGCTGTTGCTGCCCGCCTCAGCTGACGGCCATTTTTCCAGGGGCAGATCCAGGATTCCTAGATTTTATACTTAATCAGAAGCCAGAAATACAGACTTTTTGGGTCAAATTTCCAATTTTACAACACTATACGCTAAATAAAACAGGACATAGGCCAGATTCTGCATGGGGGCTACTCCTTTGTGGCATCCTACACCTCAGAAGAAAGCATATTGACATTAAAACAGTCTGCAGTTGCTGATTTGACTTTTTTTAAATTCCCCTTGCAGAACTCGGTCTACTTATTTGATCGTTTGATATGGGTTCTGCTACATTAAACAATTCTAAATTAGTATGAGTATGTGATTAGTGCAATTAGTATGATTCAAGCCTTTCTATGACCAGAACTCCCTGTTCTTTCCCGCTCTTCTTTCAGGATGCGGCTTAGATGCCACCAGGGCCTGAGTGCCCACTGGGGAGCAGCTCCAACACCCTTCCCCAACTCCCTTCCCGCACTCTTTGCCCTCCCCCGATCCTGAAAGTTACCTACGTCTCTGGTGTGGTACTTAGTTCATTCAATAATTACATCAATGATATTTTATATCACCGTGGGGTAATAAAAAAGTTTGTTCAATATAAACTAAGACAGCATTTAACAAGACTTAAAATTAATCCTATAGTATATACAGCTTTATATGCTTTGCTTTATTACATTTTTGCAGGTAGAGCTGCATAGAAACAAAGCACTTTACAAACTTAATAGGGACCAGAGAAACAGCTTTAAAATAATTTTGGCTAATTAAGACAGATATTTACCATGGAAGAGGCATACAGCTGTTTTCCTTGAAGACAGTCTATCATAGCCCACAGTGCCTCCATGCTCCACTTTGGACAGTACGGTATCCTCGTCTTCCCGGAATCCCTTAAGGGAGGTTTAAACCCTGCCAAGAGAACCTTTATGGCTCGGGCTGGGTACTGCATAAGATGAAGAGGAATTTGGCACAATCTGTCACAAAAGAAATTCTCAAATCAAAATGTTTTAGAATGTCACAATTAAAATTATAGCTAAAACTATACAACTCTTAGAAGAAAACAGGAAGACCTTCATGACACTGGATTTTGCAATGATTTTCTGGATATGACACCAAAAAGCACAGGAAACAAGTATCAGGTAAAATGGACTTCATTAAAATTTAAAACTTCTGTGTACCAAAGGACACAGCAGAGTGTAAAGGAAACCTACACAATGAAGAAAATACACATGAAAAATAGACATTTTCTTCAAAGAAGATATAGAAATGGCCAACAGGAACATGAAAAGAAGCTTAGCATTATAATACAAATCAAATCCATAGTAAGATACCCCCTCACACCCATTAGGATGGCTACTGTAATAAAAAAAAAACAAAAACAAAAAAGTATCGGTGAGGACGTGGGTAAGTTGGAACGCTTGGGCACTGTTAGTGGGAACATGAAGCGGTAGGTAGAGTTGCTGTGGAGAACAGCATGGTGGTTCCTCAAAAATTAAGCACAGAATTAGTACATGATCCAGCAATTCCATTTCTGGGCATATACCCAAAATAATTAAAAGCAGGGACTTGAAGAGATCGTTTGTTTTTTTTT